GTGCTAGTGTTAAGAGGAGTGTAATAGCCTTATAATAGTTAAGTTCGGCGCGCGTAAAGCGAAGCGCGAAGATTTAAAGTAAAGAAAAAGGCCGTACGTAAAGTCCGGTTATACGTAAGGCGCTAAAAGCGACGGTAATAGCGAAGGATCGCGCGCGTAGGAGGTAAATCACATAGTTAGAGTAAACAGCTAAATTAGGCGCGTATAGGCTCTAAACCCCGCAAAGATAGTAGTAAAAAGCGAGTAACTTGCTTTATAGTTAGTTAATATAAGTAGGAAGGTTCGTAAGATAAAGGAAGAGGAAAAGTATGTTAATAAGGTAAATTCCGAAACAAGATCTAAAGTTTCGCTATAGCATAGCGGAGTAACATGAGACTCTAGATATAGCTCTCTAGCTATTATAGTAAGTATTCCCCTGTCTACAATGTAGATTAGAGTTAGGATGTAATAGTCGTGTAATAGTATTATTAGCTAAACCGTTACCGTCTTTACTGCTCCTATTCATACTTAGCCCGATTAACATAGAAACTGCTATTTACAATTGAAATTAGATAACTATATCATACTAAGTGAGTTTAAGTGAAATATTGAAGGGGTTCAATATAATAAATTTCCCGTTCGTCCCGTTAGGTTTCCCGCGAAATCCCGTCTACTAACGGGACGAACGGGACGGGATCCCGCTCTAGAAATTTCCCGTCCCGTCCCGTCCTAGGCGGGAAATCCCGTCCCGTAGGGAGGTCTATTAGTGCTAAGAGGTAGATTAATGGCATTACTAATGAATCTAGAGCTCGCAATTGAGACCGTGTCGTTAATCTAAGCATTAATACCGCGCTTAGGTAGACCTTCTTTATTAAGTCGTTTAATGCTAGCGAAGTCGTTATAGGTAGCGAGTAGTTACGAGAGACTATTACTAAGAAGGTTCGTTAGTTAACAGGTAATTTAGGCAAATAGAACAGCATCTATATAGACACTTATAGTACGTAGAGAGGGTTCTATCTAGTACTCTAAGAGGACCCGGCAATAGCGTATATGTTCTACGTCCTCTACGATAACTATAGCCTTTAACTTAGTATAAAAGATTATATAGATCTGGACTATAAGACATCTATTAGCTTCTACGCTAATCTAATCCGAGAGGTAAATATAGTCCTTACCTTCTTCCGCGCATCTAATAAGGTCTAGTAGCTACTTCTTTAGATTACGTAGATAGAAGGTAAAAATCTAACTACGTTCGTAATAGCTTATATTACTCGTTAGGGGTCCTACTTCGAGGCGGTTAATAGCCTCTCGAAGAACAGATTAGTGCTTAAGTTAGCGTCCTCGTACGGCATAATTACTAATACTAAGGTTAAGAAGTTAGTCGACGACAAGAGGTAGTAGGTTCGAGTTTAGAGCCTTTAAGACCTAATTAAACCCTTCTACTTTACTTAAAAGCTCTCTAAAAACGACCGGTCGACTATCGGCATAGTTATTCCTTAGTAGCGATAGTTGCGCGTAGAACTAGTAGCTTCTAATATACCTTATAAGGAGAAGGTGCTCGAGAAGGTCGATAAGTATATAGCTATCTAAACAACTAACATCTACTATGCTGCCTTCCTTCTTTACTACTAACTCGACGAGGTAGCGTAGACTAAAGAGGAGTAGGCCGCTACTCTTAGATTTATCGACACTTATATTAATATTAACAACATCGATCTAGTAAAGTTTTAGGGTTAACTTACTAACTACTTCGAGCGATCTAGTCCCTTTACGCGCGTAGAGCTCTAGACTAATGCTATACGGTTCTAGCTATCTACCTTTTAGTTATTAGCTAATAAGTTTAGTGCTTTAGAGCTTATAAAGTTAGTAGGTTGCCTCGCCGTCACTCCGGCGAACTTAGTGCTATTAGAGCGCTCTTTTTTAGTAATAAATTACATTTAGAACACCTTCCGCGCAAAGATGTCGATACTAGTTACCTAATAGCTCTATAATGTTTATATAAACTCGCGCGCACTCGATTAACGTAAGGCACTTATTACTAACGACTAGAAACTTGCGTAGATTAAGAGGCGATCTAAGAAGTTTGCTACGCGTAACAATCCTCTTAGAGAGCGAGCTATTTAAAATAAGGACATTAAGTAGATTAACTACGAAGAAACGGTCTATTTAGACGACCTTATTAACGAAGCAGTAGTCGTTATTCTAGCAGCTTACACTGCTTCTACTAAGCTTAAATTCCTAGTCGATAATATAGACTATGTTGCTATGCCGCCTCCTCTATTGCCTTAATAGCGACCCTTACCCCTATAGGTTCGTCTTCCTTCTTAACGACATTAAGATTACCTCTACTTAGACCCTTAGTTCTACCCTATAAAGAAGAGGCTAGCACTACGCTTAAACAATCTAAGGCTACTAAGGCGACGGAAGGTCGTTACAAACTTTAAGTCTTAGCTATCTTAACCTTCTTAGACCTCGTAACTAGTAACACCTCCTTAATCTTAGAGCTCTTAAAGTTCTTTACCTTTACTAGCTAACTCGCAGTTCTTAATTAGAAGCTCTATACTAGGAGGTCTCGCTACGCTATCTTAGACCCCTCGAAACATTACCTCTTCTATGCCTACGGTAGCAAACATATAGGACTACGAGCGTATTGCTCTTAGAGAAATAAGCTATAACTTAAGAGGGGTGTATATAGAGGAAGAGGACGTTAAATTGCTACTACTAATTGCCTTATAGAACAATAGTTAAGATCCATTTATCATTGAATAAATATAAGTTGTCTAAATTTGCCTATATCGACCTAGTTTCTATACCGCGAAATGGCCGAATATCACCTAAAAACGCTAATTGCGGGTATAACTAACAGGCAGCGCGGGGGAGGCTATACCTCGGCGTTACAAAGTAGTTTGTAACAGTTTGTAACAGGTTCGTAACTAGTTACAAACTGTTGAGTTAGTAACTCTGATCAAGCCTATCTGAGCGCCGCCCGTTTGGTCTGGATCCACCCGAAGGGCAGACACGTGGAAGGCGGGGCCCTTTTCTGACCACCACTCACTCCCCTTTGGTGACTTCCTTTTGTCCAAGATCTTCCTCTTGATCTCGCGAACCAATAATTTGAAGACTACCATGACGATGCTTCTATAGCTCATGTACGTCGACGGACTGTCATGATTCTCCTCTGCATCTCATTACATTCTTGTAAACATTTTTGCTTCTGTACCTTGCAGCGAACGACATTGCTTTTGCGCCCGTTCACATAAAGGCGTTCGGCCTTTTACCACCCGCCGCCTGCCGCTTTACCTGTTCTTCTCAAACAGCCGACCTTTCTCTTTTTGACAGACAGCTTCAAGCACAGACAGCTAGAACTAATAATGCCAACAGCTCGCGTCTCTCGCTCATGAGCTCGTCGTCTTTTGACCAACGCTCCAACCTCTTCGAGCAGCATCATTGCTGTGGCTGCTTATCCAATCAATAATCCCGCAGCGAATTGAACAATGCATGTCTTCATCGTCACTCTGTTCTAACTTTCTGATGCTTCTCCTGTGGCGCTGCACAAATCGATCTTTCCCGCTCCAATCACCTGCGACTGTTGCTTCCAAATCTTCATTCCTCCGTTCCTCTCGTCTCTGCCGCTCACTGCTTGATCGTCCCTTGGTCCCAAGATTGCGTTGCCCATAGGCTCAGCATCCGGGTTCCGGACCGCGATAATCTACCATCTTATCACTCGTCCGCACCCGTCCGTGAGCGTTTCCTCCCTATCCTCGAGAACCTGAGTCAACAACCACACTATCCTTCCAGCCTAAAGATCATCTCTGTTCTTGCATTACCAATCTGCATCACAGCCGTGTGAAGCCCAAATCGGTCTCTCCCGAAACGATCATTTTGCCGATCAGTCCACACGCAATGCGAACCGGCAGATCATCCGCGTCAGTGCATTGACCGGACCCTGGCCAGACCTGCTCGAGTCTAAGCCCTACCTGGCGACCTGATACAGTTTGCTTGTGCATGCACTCGACGTCCGTCTGCCGTTCATGTTGCTTCTTCGCTTACTTTCTCCGTTAGTAGGGAACCCTCCTTTAGCCACCATGGACCATGGAAAAACGCCTTGACCTGCTCATCCTCCAAGCTCTCTTCCGTACGCGCAGCCACTCAAACCTACCACCCTGAACAATGCGAACAGAGCCTGTAGAAGACGAGAATTCTGCTCTAGTCCCAAGTCTAATGCCTCCAGCTTGATTCAAGATTAAAACATATCTATCTGTGGAGATGTCAGACCACGTTTCCCGCTCATTCTTGCCCAAGAATGGTTGCTGTACGGATGTTCATCGTTAACATCTGCCGGGATCTGTCTCAGACCCATGGCAAAACACTAATTGTACCACCTACCCGCCAGCCTGGTTAGCGAGAGTTTGCCATCGGTTACCGTCATACTACTATAATACTTTCCCCTCCTACATTTTCTTCCCTTCCACTTGGACCTCTTCATATATTGCACACTGCCTTCCCGTGAGCAAAAGCCATTGATTGCTTGCCGAACCACCCATATTTTAACCTAGTCAATCATTTACTGGGCATCCCTCGGTGCAAGTACAGGCGATCATGGCCGACTCTTCAGCAGTACCGACATTGAGTGAGCTCAAGTCGTATGACATGCTGGCCATATCGGCCGTCTTTCTAGCTCTATCTGCCGTTACAGTCATTCTCAGAGTATATGTTAGAGGATGGATGATTCGCTCTTTTGGATGGGATGATTGGCTTATGATGGTGACATGGGTGAGTGCCGACTTGGATTCCATGTCTATGATTTATCCCTGACCCTCTTGCAGGCCTTGTTCGCCATGACAACTTCTCTGTTGATGAGCATCGCGCTTTCTGAGATCAACCCGCCAGGTGTTGCTGACCAAGACACAGTCAATGGTATTCTGACAGTATGTTACTCTTCAGCCAGTCGTGTATCAAGACTCAATCAGGACTGACCTGATTCACAGTTGGTCGTCTGCATATTTGGACTTTACATCTTGACTACCGTCATCTTCAAGCTTAGTCTGGCCGTCTTCTTTCTGCGTGTCGTGAATCAGCGCTGGCAACGTCAAGTCATCATCGGATCAGTGACACTCTACACTCTTTTCGGCACCGCATGGCTCTTTGTCGCAATCTTCCAATGTGGCAGCCCAGCGAATTATGGAGCGAATGAAGCAGCAGGCAAATGTTTGCCGTTCCAGACTGTACTTCGTCCGCTCAACTACACCCATGGAGTCCTAAATGCTGTTACCGACTGGATCTTCGCCATCAGTAAGTCTTGAAATCTTGGACCCTGTCTGACCAACAACAACAACAACTAACTCTTGTTCAGTCCCCATCTTCGTCGTCAGATCTGCGCAAATGCACAGGCAGCAGAAGATCACGGTCTGCACTATCCTCGGCCTCGGTGTTCTCGGCAGCATCTGCTCCATTGTTCGTCTGGCCTACGTGGATGTCATCGGCGTCAAACTCGAAGACCTTCTTATCTCGGCACCCAACTTCGCCATCGTCAGTATCGTCGAACTCGGTCTCGGTATCACCGCCGCTTGCCTCGCAACCCTACGCCCTCTTTTCGCCTTCTGGTTCGACAAAGCACGTACCGGTATTTCATCCTCTCGGAGTGGAAGAAATACCAAGACCGGGCCCGTCGGACTCGATGGCAGCAAGGGCATGATGGGAGTCTCTGGTTCATACGTCACTTCCGGCCACAACATGGGTCACAAAGACGATGGTGTTGTCACTGTAACCAGAGAGTTGCAGATTTACACCAACAGACCCTCCAACGCCGGCGAGACGATGGAGATGCACAATCTTTCGCCAGACCGAACCCGTTCAGGCCAGAGATCAAGGAGTCAATCTAGTGAAGAATCTCTACTGGAAGTCGTCTAAAAGCTTTACTTTCCTTTGTTCTCTTATCTAATACCAGCTTCGTACGCTTTTGTTCTACAACTTATATACCCTTCAAGACTTTTACGAATTTACAATCATATTCACCATAGTCTTCTTTCTCTGTATCTCGTTCCGCGGTTTGGAGTTCGCTTGGAAGCAGCAGGTGATGTCGTCACGAATAAGGCAACCCATCTAGCCATTTCAACATTCAACCTGAAACCATCAAGAGGTTGTCAGATGACGCATACTCCACGCAAGCATGTACCTTGCACATCATACATTGCCGATCTCGCCTGTACTTCGTCATCTTCATCACATACCATTGGAGCGCGTAGAGCGGCTACAATGCAACAAGAGAATATGAAACTGGATACTGATACTTATATTCGGGATTCGTTTGTTTGCACGTGCTTGGCTTGCATTGATGTGTTTCTCCCTGCATACATTGGGTTGTCTCAGCCTTGTGAATCTCATGCGCTTGGTCTACCGAGGGCTAAGGGCAGATATTGCCTTGTCAGAGATGTCGTCCTGGTGGTTGAGCTGTGGGCTGGGTGGGGGTGGATTTTGAAACAGATCGTGGTGATCATGATGAGGAAGGGTATAGTTTCATAGATGCCGGATTTGCGCTCTTCTCCCGTGTCGGTATGAAAGAATGTTCAAAGACCGCTTTGTGACCAGGATCATCGACAGGGAGATCTCCATGAATTACTGTTCTCGGTGTCGAGAGTGTTGTACATTTCTACAGGTTTGTGGGTGATTGGCTCATTACACATATGAGGACGAGGCGTCGTAGCGAGAAAAAGCCTTGGTGGTGACTTGCACCACCGAGCGGCGGAAAACGGTTTCCTGATAGCCTCACAGAGGCATCTGATATTTGTGTATGCTTCATCTTCCCTCTCCGACCTGCTCTCTCCTCTCCAAGATCTTATCCACAATACCGAACTCCAATGCCTCCTTCGCACTCATGAAGTAGTCCCTCTCCATATATTTCTGAATCTCTTCCATGGTATGCTTCTTGGTCAAATGTCTTAGGTAGATCTCGTTGAGCTGCTCGCGCACACGCAAGATCTCCTTTGCATGGATGGCGATATCGGATGCCTGACCTTGATAGCCACCGCTGACTTGATGAATCATGATCCTGCTATGCGGCAATGTATACCTCTGCCCCTCAGCACCACCACACAACAGCAAACTTCCCATACTCGCAGCCTGACCCATGCATATCGTGCTAACGGGACTGCGGATATACGTCATGGTATCATAGATGGCCAAGCCAGCCGTCACCATACCACCCGGACTGTTGATGTAGAGTGAAATAGACTTTTGCGGCGCATCGGCCTCAAGGAACAGCAATTGTGCTACGATGCTTGCGGAGATTGTTTCGTCGACTTCGCCGTTCAGGCAGATGATGCGTTCTTTTAGCAGGCGAGAGAAAATGTCATAGGTGTGCCAGCCGCCGCCGACGGTTTCGGTGACAAAGGGCATGGGCATTGCGGCGCGGGGTGGGTGGGAGGGCATGTCGCGGTTTGTGGGTGGGTAGGGCGGCGCCGAGAAGAAGCTTCTTGTTGGTGTTGTTGTGAGGGGTGCGGCGGCGCATGTGGTCTTGGAGATTGTTTTGAGGGCGCATCGTGCGCTGAGGCGGGGGAGTAGGTTTATCGTCATGGTTGCTGTGATGGGTTGTGTGTTGTGAGCCTGTTGTCGAGGTGGACCGTCTGCTTGGTGGATGGATGCAAGGATGCAAGATTGAAGGAATGACGATGTTTCGACTTTCTGGGGCAAGCTCCGAAGGCGGTGAACCCTCGCAACTTCTACTTCTACTTTTACTTCAGCTTCCACTTCCTACGCAGTACTCATTGCACTTGAACATGCCTTTTCAACACAACCTCATCCTCTGCCACATCAAGAGTGCCTCGACATTCATCAACTGGATTTCCATCACTCTCATACATATCAATCGGAATCTCAATTGTTCCATCTATCATCACCCAGTGAGCCGGTCATTATGATTCAAACCATGACAATGTCCGTCCGGATGCGGAATTCTTCTTCTCAAGCAACAATCATCTCCCACAGGAATGGCTTCCATCATCAGCTTTGTACTCAGATCCCATCGAATTCGAATCACAATGAACTTTGTCTGCTTCCGGACAAAGGCATTACCTGTTATATAAACACATCTTGAGACGCTCTTACTCGACCATCCCGAACATATCGCTCTCTCTGCAGTCCACTATCAATGGACCGACCCGTATTAGAAGAAATTGGGCCTGACGGACGAGCTCTCTTGAAAGGAGATCAATCTGGACTTGACAAAATTCGAAAGCCACCGCTTCCAAGACCCAACACAAAATGGGTCGGCGGATACAAAGTTGGCCAAGGAGGTTTTGGCCTTGCCTCTGCCTGGATCTTGGTCGACACGAACACCTCCAAGCCTATCGATCAGGTCGTCATTAAAGACACCTTCGAGCCAGTATGGAATTCCACCGAGGATAAAGGAATGTACAAATATATCTACAGACAATTGTTCCAAAAAGGTCTCGACTTCGGAGCCAGTCTTGGTCATGTGTCAGGAAAAGCACCGGCCAAAGACAGATTCTTCAAGGAAGCCTATATGCACGGAGTCATGACCACAACCGATCCTGTTGAGGAGTTCTATACTGTGCCGCTCTGGGGTTATGCCAGAAAGAAAACTAACATGTTTGAGTACAACCTTTGGCGTTTGTACATGCCTCTGTTTGATTGTCGCGATCTGAGATCTCTTGTCGGTGTCCATAACGATGCGAACAGGCGCATCCCGGAACCTTTCCTCTGGTACACTCTGGACTGTTTGATGAAGGCAGCAATTCTAATGGAAAAAAACCCTCGAGAACTTCTTGAGGCCGGAAATGACGATGTGATTGTTGTGTTCGACATGAAGCTGGAAAACATTTTCTTGGCCTCACCCGATCAGAGCAAATCCTTTCCCATATATCCTCGCCCCTATATAGCAGATCTCGGAGGCGCATGTCTTACCGCACCAGATGATCCATTAAACACCAGTAACAGTCTGCCGTTCCAATACACAAAGCAGTGGGAGGCCCCGGAGATGTGGCGACCGGGCACGCCTCCCAAGGGCGAGAGGGAGTCTGGACCTATACTACCAATGGGAGCATTACGTGGTTCTTGTACCAACGTGTGGCAGATTGGCCGCGTCCTTCAACAACTGATGATACTGGAGGAGGACCCCATGGAGATAGGTTTCGATTCCGAATGCACTCCAGCACAAATGGAAGCCATGACCTACGAATCTGGAAAGAGTGTCCTGTATCCTGATTCCTACTACTCGGATGACCTCAGAGGATTTGTTCGTGAATGCTTGCAATTCATACCAGAGGCCAGGCCTACCCCTCAGAATATCGTGTCCAGAATCAAGATATTGGGCCCTCTATACTACAAAGGCATGGACATCTTCGGTAGCGACGCATGGATGCAAACAAAAGAAGGACAGAAAGCCGCAAAACCAAAAAACACCACGCCCCTAGCACCATCACCAGCGGGCGTCCAACAGGCCCGAGAATACACGCGTGCCTGGAGCAAGAAAGCCAAAGACCGATTTACCGAATTGGCAGAATTCCCCGATAGCGATCTGCTCATCCAATGGGCCTCGGACAGGAACGGCAGGCTTTGGCGCTACACCGATCCCGACAGAGATATCGTTGATCGACATGGAAATCCAATAGACGATTTGGAATATAGATACTGCGTGAACTGCGCCAAGAATGTGGATGCTGACATGCACTTTTGTCCGAAACCAGTACCTGGTTTTGGAGGAGGTCCACCGCGACCTAAATTTGCTGGTGGCTTTTGAGGAGGCCCACCGCGTCCTGGTTAAGAAGGTGGTTTCGCAATGGAGGAGGTGGTGGGTGTGGAGGAGGAAAGGGTGGCGTCGGAGGGGTTGGCTTCGGAGGAACAGGAGGTAGTGGGTTCGGAGGAGCAGGAAATGGTGGTTTCGGTGTTCCTCCAGCAAACCTTGGGTATGATGGTGCTGGTGATGGAGGACCTGTTTTTGGTGGACCCATTTTTGGTGGACCAGGTTATGGTGGACCAGGTTATGGTGGACCCGGCTATGGTGGACCAGGTTATGGAGTACCACCTCCTCAGGCTCCTCAGGACGGCGGGTTCCCAGGCTTCAATCCTGCGGCACAAACTTTCCACTTTGGAATGCCACCACCCTGATCATGGAGCCCATGCTTGATCTTACAACCCCGAATCATTGGATGGTGCTCCTCTTCCTCCAGCACGATCCTTGTAATGTTGGAGGTAAGTCTCCAATGGGACTGTAGTATCCAGTGTGTTTTCGCGGACAAATCTCATCAACTCAGCGATATTATACATTTCTACAGCCGTTGGATGAGAAAAATCGTGGTCGCATGGAGATGGCTGGAAATGATGGATTTTGGGACAAGGGGAGGTCAGATCTTCTCGTCTTCGTTTGGCAAGTCTATCCAAGGGCTGCTGTTCGTTGGCATTTGAAGAGATTTGTGGTTTTCTGGTTTGAAGAGTAAACGAGGCTGTAATAGCTCATCATGTTGGTTGCAGTGGGGGAGTGATGATATCGATAGATCAATCGATATGTCATGTGTATCTCTACTCCGAGTTCGTTCCTTCCACACACACTTCAAAAGCGGATACTCAAACATCAAAAGCACAAATGACAATACGAGATCTTCATTTCTATCTGTGGAACCGAACCTCTGTAACAATACACGCTCATGAGAATAAAGATTGAAGAAAAGAAAAAAAAAGGGGCGGGGTTGTGTGTGTACGATTATGCAGAGAAGAAGTGAAAAACAAAACAATGAGTAAGCGGGGGTATCCTCGACGTGACAAACATGCATGATGAACAGAAAAGAAAAAGCATAAACACATGCGCTCGATGATAGAGAGACAAAGGAGATATAAGAACGGGAAAAAAGAAGGAAAAGGCAAGGTTGGAGGCCTTGATGCAATGTGGACGAAAGATTCTCAAGATCACGCCTTAGCGTTCTCCTTCTTGCCATCCTTGGAGCCAAGAGCAGCTCGTTCTTGTTCGCGAACTTGCCGTTCCTCGTAGACTCTTTCTTTTTCGCGGCCGGCTCGGTCAAGAGCTTCAATGTATGTTCTGAACTTGACGACTTCGCGTAGGAGGTAGGCGCTCTTCTTCTCCCAGTTGGCCATGACTTTGTTCCAGTTCTGGCCGTAACGATTAGTGTATGCCAGATTTACGGCATTACGCAGCTCGTTGTGACGCTCCAACTCGGTCTCGACTGATGCGACGTATGCTTTCAGACTACGAAGCTGATCAATCTCGAGCAACTGTGATGGCAACATTGATGCTGCAGGAGGCTTCCAATCGGCAATGTGGGCACGGTCTCCCGGCAATCTAGATCTCGATCCAAAGGTCTGGTCGAATGAACCGCGAACAGATGATTGCATACTCTGCTTGCCAAGACTGTTGACAGACGCTGAATGACCATGATTTCCGGCAGCTCGCGATGGTGGCTTAGTGAGGGGCTCTCCGTTGCTGTTGCCAATCAGAGCAGGGTTGATGATATTATCGCTCCAACCATATTCGATGTTGTCAACACCACCCACTAGAGGCTCTTTGCTCAAACGCGCAGACCAGTAGTTCACGGTAGAAACAAACTCCTCTGCAATCTCTGCAGTGCCGACGTGGAACAAATGAACAGCACCTGTCGGCAAGCTCAATGCCCAAACATGCGGACGAGTCTTACTATAGCCCGGGTGTGGCAGAACAGTTGCAAGAGATTGTCTTAGAAGGAATTGGTCGGTTTCGTCTGCATTATCGGTCCAGTTACCACCACCAACAACTGATGGTGCAACGCTGGCGGCTTTGCCTGTCTTAACAGGTTGGCGTTTGGCGCTGCGCATGTCGTTGATCTTGGTAGTAGTCCGGTTGAAGTTGAACAGATGCAGGTATCCTTTCTCCACGACTGCGAAAGTCTCACTCCAGCTGCGTTCCTTAGCCTTCTTCTCCGGACCGTCCAGGTGATGCTTATGCTTGACCATGCCTTCTTTGGCCCATGGTGCACCAGCCAACTCCAGACTTTCATCCTCAAGCACAGTACCAATCTTCATGACGGACTCAGTATCGCCTGCGCTCTCCTCACGGATGATTGCTTGCGACAGTGCGTTGGTAAATCCTAAGCTCTGCTTGAAGTCGGGGTGGACTGCAAAACTCTCGACACTCATAGTGGTCTGGGTTCTGCCCATAGAGATCTTGCTCCACATACTGCTTTGTGCAGACGGACTCCAAGCAGATTGGCCATCGTCGATTGAAGTTCGAGTGGAGCCAACGGTGGAAGCAGGGTAGACCTTCTGTCTGGATCGGTTCTTTGTCGCATTCCAGTGGGATGACAAGGCACCGCTGTTCTGCCTCTTGCTCCTATATGAGAAGCCTTCAGAAGGTGCTTTTGAGATAACCGAACCAGTTCTTCGCAGATTACCGGCGACGGTGAGATTCCCGGGACCATGCGATGTTCCGGGGTTCTCTCGTGAATTTTGGGAGCCATGAAGCGGTAGAGCCAAAGACACAATTGAGCTGTAGAAAGCCTTGAGAACTGACTCAACCTCAAGCAACCACTTGTGTTCGGGGCCATCGAAGGGACGTGAGACCAAGTGATTTGCCGAGCCAAAGTCTCCGTGTTCACCTGGGCCAGGATCTGTTTCGTATCTGCCCATACCTGGTCTGAAAGACAGCCGTTTGGTTGAACGTCTAAAATCGACAGATCCTCGATCATCATCATCGGGCGACTTGGGCGTAGTATCTGACCATGGTAAAGAAGGTCTCGAAGGTGATCGAGTCGGCCTGATGGTCGCGCTCTCGGCTGCTGCTTTCACAGCGGGCATGGTGTTCTTGATGAACTCGGATCGTGTCATTTTGTGCTGAATATCGGCCATGTGTTGATCGGTATTGAGCAGTAGAAGAGCATAGCAGATGGCATGTACCACACCAGGCCCTTTGAAGCCGTTCAGTGTGTTACACTCATCCCATCTCCGGGAGAATGCGTCTAGGATGCGGTCAACTTGCTGGCTCTCTCCCTTCAATATGAGTCTATCACAGAGCGCGCGAAGACCACTAAGAATGTTACGATTCGCGAAATCGAAGAGATCCATGTAAGCGGTAAGGGTACGGGCGCTGACAGGGTTCTTTTCGCCGAGCCATGCAGCAGCCTCATCCTTGAGCATATGTTGTTCCTCGCCCTGATAGATTTGCCGGGCGCGTTCTCTCTCGTCGGCGGTCGGCTCATCGATGGTACCAAGCATGCCTCGAGCGACTTCGACCGAGGGACGGATTGTATGGCCATCAACCTGGAACGAAGGAAGATCACTGTCATCATTTGACACAACGTAGCTTTGCGGAGCTCTGATGCCTTCGATGGGCAGGCCAAGACTATCCCGATTGTGGTCAAAGAAGTGCGATCGAGGCGAGATGGGTTCCCGTTCCATGTCCGAAGTTGGGGACGTGACAAATCTCTCGCTAGGGGTGATCATAGGTGAATTGGCCATGGGCGAGACAGGACTGAATGCACCAGCAGCCCCAAGATAGGTATCACTGACAGCGGAAATGATTGAAGGAGCTCGACTTCCATCGTCTGCATCACTGTTGTCGGCCAAGAACGAGTTGCTCTGTACCAGATCAGGGCGCGCGTGGCCTGTAGCAACTTGTAGACGCTCATTCACACCACCGAAATTACGTTCCATATCGTCTATCTTCGGGCTCTTGAAGGCTTGTTGCTGCACATGAGGGGTCACAGATTTGGTGCTTCCTGCTCGAGGCTCCAGAGGCTCTACTCCTACTCTTCTTATGGAAGCGTCCGGCGGTGGGGTATATCCTGAGTGGAACATGTCGAGTTCAGAGGACTCATCAGTGTCATGGCTGAGCACACTGGATCGAGTGAGTTGGCTGACTGGAGTATCCACGGGCTTGTTATAGTCAGAGTCAGTTTTGTTCAACTGACTAGCAGAACCGCCAAGGTATTGATCCATGACCATTCGGAGACTGCTTGCACCTGGACTTACAGGTGGAGAGTGATCTTTGAGATGAGAGGCGGACACGAGCGGGTTGGGTAAAGGCAAAGGAGGAGGTATCTCGGTGATGGACTTCTTCCGGCGTCTAAAAAAGGAAGCCTTTTTCGTAACGACATTCTGAGGAGGATCCGTGGAGTTGGAATTCGTCTTGGTGGGAACAGAAGATGAAGCACTCTCTGTGCTCTGGACCGAGCCATCTCTGAGGTTGGGACGCTGCTGGTCTGGGAAGGAATTGGTGCGTGTGGCCGAGCCAAAGACTCGTCGGAAGAAGCCTGGTCGTTCCTTTGGAGCGTCGTGGGCGGAGGGCTGCTTGGAGAGGGATGAGTTTATGGATGCAGAGGAATTGGTAGGAGGGTGGTCGAGCATTGAGGGTGATTGGGCACGCATGTTGGACTGTCGCACAAACTCCAGTGCTTGATCCCGTATGCTCTGCGGAATGTCTGAGTTGTTTGTAGAGGCCTGCTCTTTTGCTGTGTTTGACTTTGATGGTCCACCTGGGACTCTTGGCTCGGGGCAATGGACTTCGTATGTGCTAAACATGCTCGGGATGGGACGACCGCGGTCGAGGATGCCGTTGGACACAACCTCGGGAGTGCCTTGGGTGCGTGGGTCGCCCTTGTCGAAGGTGCCGATGCGAGTGGTGCCGAGAACCTGACCGTAGCCGTAGTCGACGCTCTGAACAGTCGAAGGGCGAGAGTCGGAGTTGCTGTTGGTGCGGATGCGGGCGGTGAGCTGGGAATCGTTGCTGTTTGCATCCGAGTCGTGCGACAGCGATGAGGAGTATGTGTGACCTCTGACGCGTTGTTGCAGGCGCTGGAAGGCTCTCGGCGGGGTGAAGGAGGTGCTACTGCGGTCAAAGTCGTCGCTGTTGATGTCAGGCATGTTCAAAGGACTGAAACCGGGACCTGCAGCGGACCCTGGCATACGATCAAACGACGACAGCAGGTTGTCCAAGACCGAGTCTTGTGTGACGCTCTGCCACGATTCGGGCCGCAATTGGGATGGTTGGGACGGCGGAGATGATCTCAGAGGGGAAGAAGAAGCATGATGATGATGTGAGAGCGATTGGCCGGGCGGAGTTGCTGGCAATGGTGCGTCTAGCCTGTGTAGAGGGACGGACGCTGGCACAGACAAAGAAGGAGGCACAGAGCGCTGAGGATGAGGATGCAGATGCGGATGCGGCTGAGAGCGAGGATCTGCTGCTCGCGGCCGTCTGCTCGTCGACATTGTCGAATCGGCGCGAGATCTATCCGTTATATCAGAGTGGGTACTCAGTGTTCCCCTCCCTCAAAGGAACATCCACATGGCGACAAAAGTCAACCTTGACAAGCAGCAAAACGAAAGGGGCCCAAGCCGAATCCGTCCACCAACTCCACTCGTGCCTTCCCCAAGAAGATCTACGCGCCACTTTTCCGCGCGAGACTGCCTTGGCCAACCAATGGCGTGAGAGCCCTGACTATTTCCATCCATTTATATCCATCTATTGAAAAAGAGATTCCAATTCCTTCGTGTCTAGCCAGCCCTCTGTTTGAGCAAGCGATATTTCATTGTTTTGCCAGGAATTTATATCCGTTGGAACTTTAACCAGATAAACGTTGCAACGGCCCTCGCGACCTTTAACTTTGAGCGCTTCGGCAGCAAATCTGCCTTTTTGCTCTTGACGAATGATCAATTGCTGTCACTTTTCGGCTATGCATGGCATCCAAAACACGATGCACCTGCAGTAGCGCAACAACCCAATCAGGCCCACACATCAATCCTCCGCCCGCTCTTGCATTCTTCCCTCAATCGTGCATTTGCTTTGCTTCTAGAATTCATTTGTTCAATGGATGCCTGATGATTCATCGATTCAGCAACAGCAAGTCGGAGTAGAGCCATATTGTTCTTGATCTTCTGGAAGATTTGCGCACTATATGATACTGCAAGCAGCCGGTTTTGAACTGCGTGCCGCAGCGTACGACGTACAGTAAGCAGACCTCAACGGTCGGTATACACATTCAAGCACCCCTGGTCTTGGTAGGTACCTCCAAGTAGAGGAGGGGGGCTCACTCATCTCCACTACATCTTCTTCAGCCACCACATACCACAAGGATAACGCTGCTGCATTGCTGTCCCACCCTCAGGCCAGGCAGACGTGTTCAGGAGACAGCAACAATGCCTTTGCCCAATATATTCTCAGGGGGAGAAATTTCAGCTATCGAAAGCATACGACGTCTGCATCTCTCAAGCTCTATACTTCGAAAGCCTAGTCGCGAATGCATCAAGAAATATCTCCACGACAATCTAGTATGCTCCATCCTCGTAGAAACAACCTCTTCAGCACCCTCATATCACTCTCACGCAAAAATGTCCCCAAAAGCCTCCAAATTCCTCTTTCCCACCACTCCCTGCCCATAAACCGCAAACACCACTCTTCCAAACCAACCCTTGAATTCTTCTTCCGCCAACAAATTCTTCATCTCCGTAGCCACCAACCTAGGCGGACACCCATAAGCTCCACACCCCAAAGCTCCCAACACCAGACATGTTTTCCCCTCTGCAGCTGCACCGCGGAAAATAAGTCTAATCTTATCTCTGAACTCGTTGAGAATATTTGGGTCTGCGAATTCGGTGTTGGAGTTTGTGAGAGTTGGGTGACGGGGTGCAGCGATTGTGATGACAGAGAGGAGTGCTCTTTCCTCTGGTTGAAGGTCGCGGCAGGAGTTTTCTAGAGTGTCTTTAAACACGACCACGCCAGGGGAGAAGATTCCTGCCATTGAGGAAGGGCCGGTGTTTGCCCAGGGGTAGTACTCTGGTTTCAGCGTTCGATATATTGTGGATGAGTAACAGAGCGCTTCTTCCTGTGTAGCGCTTAACGTGTACCTCCATCCACCACCGGGCTCTTCATCTGATGCGAGGTTGAGCACTGCAACTTTATCCCTGAACTCCGGGTCTGAGGATAGTATGCTTCGGGCACAGGCAAAGGTGTCCGAGTCGATAACTTGTATCGGTCGAAGTTGCAAATCTGGAAACTCAGGATCCAAGGGCGAAAGCTCGGGATATGTTTGTGATGTGATGAACGTGCTGTCCAGTGAAGCATTAGGCGTAGTAGCCGTGATCTCTTCTAACCGCTTGATCGTGTCTTCGCAGATTTTGCGGCGAGTGGCGAGATCCGGTAGCATTTTCTGTAATTGTGCGTCTCCGGAGTATGTTCCAATGGCTTGGAGTCTTCTTGTATCGTGAGATATCGTTGATGGTTATTCGGGTGTTTATGTTGATGGAACAAAGAGGATGACGCGGAGACTTTGATGGTGCGAGATTATCTCATTAATCAGAAGCTAGAACTCTCACGTGAGTCTCGGAAGTAAGCTTCACGCTACTTGTATTAGTCCCCTATTAGCTGCCGGTAAATTCTACCGACCAATCAGGGGGCTGGAAACGACGTGTCGTTCTAGCGTCTGAGGGCTAAATGAACGTCTTTTGGTGACGGTGTACAAGTTCTCAAATTTTGAAATGGCTAAGTCCCCTTCTACAACTTATCTTTCGTCTATACTACCCGCTACCTATAAATTTAACTAAAAATGCCGTCGGTAGAACACACCGACGCGCTGTCGGCATCAGAAAATCTAATTATTAATTCTCTTTTTTGCGATACCGATGCGTAATCGGTAATAAGCGACGAATCCGATAGCGATCTATCCGACATCTCGGACGCCGCGCTTCTCGCCCTTAACGACGACACCATTACGACCCCCTACGTATAGTCTACGGGCAACTCTAATCCTAATACACGAGGAGCTCATCTTTATTATCCGTATGCTATACCTAGCTAGCCTCGTCCTCGCCGTCGCTACCTAAACATAGGCCCTACGCTGTCGGTAGAATCTACCGCCTCTTAAAACTAGCGCCTAACCCTAAGCAGTTAGCGGCTAGTTGCTACGCGCCGCCCTAATGCCTTTCCTACGCCGTCGGTAGAATCTACCGCCCCCTAAACCTAGCCCTCTATTAGGAGCAGTTAGCGGGTAGCTTCTACGCGTCGCGTCGACTAGCTCTTAACGCCGTCGGTAGAACATACCCCCTCCTAAACCTAACGCCCTACTCGAAGCAGTTAGCGGTTACCTAGTAGGCGCCGCGTCGACTAGCCGTTAACGCCGTCGGTAGAATAGAACACTAGCGAGCGCCGATCTAAATTAGACAAGGTATTGCGCGTGTATTAAGAGTTTAATCGTCGGTTTACACTTAAGCGTTTCCTCCGGGCATACCTTACTATTAAGTTAGACGAGCTCCCCGCACTGTTATAGAGACGGCGCTCATTTAATTTAACAATCGAGGCTCTACAGAAGGACTAGCTTTTCGATTCTTCGTCGGTAGAAGCTACCGCCGCCTCCGTATAGCTAATCCCTACGCTGCGTGCGGAATTTAAGCACTTAACAGATCTACCTCTATTTAGAAAGTAGAGCCCTAATTGCAATGTTCTCGACGTCGACTATAGCATTACTTAACAAGGGCTTCAAAACGTTGCCCCTATATAGACCTCTATGCTATTATAGCTAATAGCACATAATAGAGCCCATTAACAGAGCTTTGTAGCTGCAGATAGCGTCCGTAAGAACGCACTTATCTAGCGTAGCATCATTAGCGTTACTGCTAACATATTACACCGGCGACACGAAAGATTATCTAACTTCTTTCTAAAGAGTCTCGGCCTTTTACTCTATAGTAGCGGTACTAAACGCAGTGTTATCTAGCTTCTTGCTCGCCTTAGTCTCTATAAGGGGTATAAGGCTACGTATAACAACATTAACAAGGTCGCCCGGAATGAAATGGTAAGCGATTTCCCTAATATGCAGACTCCGCTAATGCTAATGTCTTAGTCGGTAGAACAAGAGAAAGGCTGTTACAGCTAGGCCTTAGACTGTGTTGTGTTATAATAACTACAACTTTAAGAATAACACCCGCGAACAGATCCGTAGCGACTCTAGTAAAATGATTAACATTACAACTGCTATAAGTATTCATAATCCGCTGCTACCCCCTAAAGGCCTTAAGCAATCCGACTTCTTACGTAACAAAGGAATTAATATAAGAACTCTCGAGGCCGCCATTATAGAACCGAGCGATAAGAACTTAAAGCTCGATAAAGACATCTCCTTGTTTTTCATCGGCGAGGCTATCCGACATATCTACCCTTAGGCGTACACGACCATTTTTCTAAAGAAGAAGTCGTCGGTAGAACCTACCGCGTTATATAACGATTATTCTGCCGCCTCTAACCCCCTTTACGATTAGACGTCTTCGATACCTTTCGCTAAGTCGGTTAGTTAGGCCTTATGTTACATGTCGGTAGAACCTACCGCTTAACAATTACNATCCGTACCTATTTCTCTGCTCCTAATAACGAGCAGACTAAGTGTACACTTAAATACGACATCGATTACTAGGATCGGAAGGGACTAACTCGTAAGAACGCAAAGTTCTATTAGTTTAAGCCCCTTATTCTCTAGGGCTTCTATACTCGTATCGCGGCCTTATAGTACGAAGAGCTATATAAAGAAGGCTTCCTTACTAGACTAGATAAGAGTCTACCTAAAAGAGAGCGCTTCTTAAAGGCTATCGCGGGTCTTAAACCCGAGCAATTTAACGCAATTGCGGAAAAAATCTATACGAGTGCGTTCTCCTTTAAGGCATAGAACTCTAGATCTAATGGCGAGTGCGACAAGGAGTTCTAAAGCATGTGTCGTCTCCTCCGAGAGTGTTAAGTTTTTATAACATTAAAACATGCTATTAAGTACGGAGATATTAGTTTACTACGCTATATAATCCCTAAGCTTGCAGTCATGTTCTATAGAGCTTAACAGTATAAATACGGATACGAAATGCTACACCTCTATTAGCAGCTCTCGGACGATACGTCGAGTAAGACGTTCTAGCGGTCTCTATTAGCTAGGAGTCTAGTTAACATTCGAGGTTTACCTAATACGTAGAAGCCGGTTAACCTTGCTAACGAACACATTAATCGCCTATATTTAGACGATATGAAACTGCACAAGAACTCTACTTACGGCATTCGATATACATTCGAAACCATGTCTGCCGTTAGCCCTTTTGTTAGTAAGCTACGTAGTAAAATGAACGAAGACTATAGAGAGATAATGTCTAGACGCCATTCTATAAAGGACGTAACCTCTAACATGTTCTCTCTTGCTGTTTTCTTACAGGAAGAGGGATTTATGACGCCGTATTAACGAGGTAACCGTAGATTCGAATCGGAAGACATCCTTAAAGCTAGCATAGAGGTACTTAGAGAGAAGGTTATAGTGTTTAACAACAAGGAGGTTAGAGTTCGCTAGGCAATGCGAGATAGTCCTCTAATATAAGCAGGGGCTAGCGATGTCCCTAACTAACATACCTTGTCTAATGCTACCGACTATGCTATCTAGGTTAACGAAAATGAAGAGGACTAGGTAGACGTCAATAATTTGGCCGGCTTTAATAAGATCGATCTATCTTAGCTTTAGGGAACGTTGTCGGTAGAACTTCCCGACGGCTTCTAGACACGGTATCTCGCTTGCCTTTTAGTGCAGGTAATTAGTGCCATCCTAGATACCCCACCGCCGGCAAAAGCTCTTTAATTAGTGCTACTCTAGATACCCCCTACCGCCGGCAAAAGCTCTCTAATTAGTGCCATTCTGGCGCCGGCAAAAGCTCTTTNTAGCGGCAAACTTCTTAGTTCTCTGTCGGTAGAATATACCGACGAACTCGGGCAGCATCTCGCGCTTCTTATCGATTATGTTCGAAGAGGGAGCATACTCTTCTCGAGGAAGACCTCTTTTACGCGGACCTAGAGCCTATTACGCTTAGGACTATCGATGTTAGCAGTATACGTGCTCTTCTCGAGGAAGACCTCTTTTACGCGGACCTAGAGCCTATTACGCTTAGGACCATCGATTTTGGCTGCAAACTTCTTAGTAAGGAATTCTATTTTAGAGGCAAACTTCTTCGTTTCCTATCGGTAGAACCTACCGACGCTTCTTAAGTAGTAGGCCTCCCTAGTCACTAGCGATGAATTCGATTTTAGCGGCAAACTTCTTAGTAAGGAACTCGATTTTAGCGGCAAACTTATTAGTTTAATTAGCAAAACCCTTGCGATAACAGAAATTCTGTCGGTAGAATATACCGATAGTTAACTTCGGTCTATTGCGATAAAGGCGAAGGTCCTACGTCTAGTCCCTCCGGTTCTTACTTTAGAAAGAGGAATAGAATTTAAGCAGGATTTGTGTCGGTAGACCCTACCGACGGTTAAACCTACCCCGAACGTCGTAACGCTTAGCCTTATAGGGGCATATGCGTCATAATATTGGCGCTAATGCTATTAGCCGAGTCCACCGACGGTTAAACCTGCTATTACGTCCCGCGATTTGTTAGATATCCTTCGTCTAGTTAGCGTCGGTGTATTCTACCGACGCGAATTTCGTCGAGGCAGGCGACTATACTATAAACTCTACCTCGGTCGCTCTACGCTAAGATAGCAACTTATAGCAGTATAACAACATCTAAATCGTCCAAATCTGCAATAATAACGGTAGCATTTAACTATTAATGTGTTTGTTCTGTTTAGCTGCATTAATGGCAAGACCCTAGGCCCTATCGCATTGCGTAGTCGGTGTTGTCCTTCTTAACTATTACCCCTTCCTCCTTCTTAACTAACACCCTTCCTCTCTCTCTTAAAGGCGCGGCCCTTACTAATGCCGATAGGCTTAATAACATCCTCTTCTAGATGAAAGAGAAGTCGCTATTAAGGAGGGCTTAAGCGGACATGCCGCTTTAACGAGGCTAAGGAGAGTAGATACCTATAAGCAATCCTCTTATGTTAGTTCTAACGGTGATCTCGAGGACAGAACTTCGACGCCTTAAGAACTCGGCTTCTTCGTAGGCTTTCTTATAATCCTTTACCCGAACAGTAAAGGATTATAAGAAAGCCTACGAAGAAGCCGACTGTTTAGTCGACCAAACAGTAGGCGATAAGGGCTTACTTAACATCTTAGGTCTAATGTTTGTAGTAGGGTAATCTCGTTAAGAGCAGCGGCGTTAGCTACATTAGTAGTAGCGTCGATAGGAGAAGGAGGGGCCCTAGATATAACAGTTAGTATGCGAAAGAACAAGGAAGGGATGTAGAGGCGACAACATACACCTCTAGCCTTAGCTATTAACCTAGTTTCGGCCCTATTAGCGGCCTTAGTCTCTACTTACTCCTACTCTCTTCTTGCTACCCTCTCCC